CTTTTCACAGATGAAAATTTCCTAGTTACAAGGTTACTGTCTTAAATTAAGACTCCATATTTATTTTTTCTCATTTTATTATGTTCCACTCTGCTTTTGTGGCATTTTCCCTAGATATGTGGACCACCCAGATTTTTCAAGCCAGCTGTCAAAATAACATTCAGTAAGAGGATTGTGCTCAGTTTTGCAGGATGTAGCTGTGCAAATGGTTAAGCAGAGAACCTGGGTATGGCAAACCCATGTCTTACTGCTAACACCGCCTTATCAAGCTCAATTAGCTTACAAGTCTAACCTCTAAATACGGATTAATTGTGTTCTTCTACCTATGATGAAATGATTATGTGAGCTAAGTAGTAAAAATTACACCCCTTTTCTGTTTGAGTTAGACCATCTGGTATTTAAATGATTTTTGGAAACACTAATTTTTGGCCTTTTAGCAAAGACCAGCTTTATCTGAACTCTTACGCTCTGTCAGTCAGGCACTGTTTGAAGAAGTCTCAGTTCCTTTGCTAGCTTGACTTTATAACCAAAATGTGGGAAATGTCCTTTGCCCTGAATAAGGGATGGGCTTGTTTAGGGCGGTTGTAAGTGCTTCACCGGTTGACATCTATCCGTAAGAAAGAAATCTGCTGTTTAAAACTAGTTCAGGGACGTCACATACAGCTCTGTTAAGTCACCAAGCATTCATAAAAAGCACCCCTCTATCAGTGCATTTGAAAATGTTATTTGAGTAACATTTCTGGCCAGGAAATTTGAGGTCCTGTCAGGACTTTGAAGTGATAGTCTTGTAGCTGTTCTCCATTTGACCCCAAATCTGATGAAATTTTGCTGTGTATTCACTATTACTTTCAAGGCCTGTTTACTCCAGCTGGGCTCTATGTTCCTTCTGAAGAATGTAATTTTTTACTTTATCTTATTAAGGACTGAGTAGTTATGAGACCTGTACATTCCCAGTAGGAAAAAGCAGTCAAATCAACTGATCTTAATCAATTGCTGCAGAGGTGGGTCTCAATTGCTGACTTACTTCGTTTCTGGATCCAGTGAGAAAACCAGTGGGAAGGGTAGCTGTTCCTCTGCTGCACTGAAGGGTCTGGAGACAATAATGGAAGAACATCCTGCCCCTCAGGAAGAATAGAACTGTTTTACAGCAATGAAAGAAATCTATCTCAAATCAGTCCAGGCTGGCATATCAAGATGTGGCTCTAAGTGGTAATAACAGTCTTATATCTATTGTGAAGAGAAAATTAACTATGTTGTAATGGGATTTTAGGCTGAATAAGAATCCAGCTCTCAGTGTGGCCCTTGCTCCAAATCAAGCCTTACATGTTTGTTTTTGTTTGCCTAAGTCATTGCACAACCAGGAAGTGGGAGGAAAAGTTGTTTGCTTTCATATCAAGGGAAGTTTATTCATGAAAGATGCAAGTAAAATGCACCACTGCTTAAGGCTTCCAGATGGTGAGAACTCCAGTGTTTGGAAACCTGCAGATTTTGCCTCAAATATTTCAGGAAAGTTTGTGTAGCTTGTAGGGAATTATTCTGTACTGAAATGAATCTCTGCAGGCTTCTTTGTTTCAAGACTCTCCCTTGCTACACAGGAGCCCTCAGTATCTACCACTGAAGTGTTTTTTGGTTATTTTTGTTTTGGTGGTGGTGTGTTGGGTTTTTTTCCAGTTTAAAAAAAAAAAAAAGAAAAAAGAAAAAAAAGGAGCAGGGGTATTAACTTCCGAATCAGTTAGAATTACTCCTCAGGGGGAAGTTTTTGCCCCGCTCTCTGTAGATACTCTGACTTTAATGTCACTGTAATAGGTTCCTCCCAGTCTGGAGTCGTTCTCCTCTCTCTCTCTTGAGCAGAGCTGATTTCCTGGTAAGCTAGTTCAGGTTAATAAACCAGCAGCTAGCTAACCATGTCCCACATTCCCCTCCCAATTGCTTTCAGAATATTAAGAAAAAGGATCTCACTACAGGGTTATGTGAGAGATGGTAGCAGTGTACAAGGACGCAGGGAAGGGACACAAAGCAAGCAATTGGGAGGGAGCGGTAGCAGCCCAATGCTGTCTGGCTAAGGTCACTGTATAAATGACTGACAGTTGAAACTTATCATGCTCTTTTCATGGGACTCTCCACATAGCTTGTATATTTTTGCTGTCATTAGGTCTTTATGTCATCAGTACATGTTCTCTCATCTTTCACACAACCTGTACTGCTTACAGATAATATTTTTTTCATCCCATCAATTTGGAAGAAGCAGTATTTTTAATCAAGCCTTTCTTACCGAAAATATTTTTGTCTGTGTGAAACAAAGCACCTGCATGTGTGATGACTTGTTGAGAGCTGCCATGGGAATTGTTTGTTTTAGTGCGACTGATGTGTTCATAGGTGTGTGGCCTGAAAGGGGTTAAGTTTTTCTGTCTTTGATACTTTCTTTGCAGTCTGATTTTACCTAAATAAAACTTTTACACTTGCATATTCATGTTGCATTTGGCACCATCCTACACAGTCTGTCCATAAAACCTCAGTGTCCCAGATTTAGACAATTTATTATTATTCCAGTATTTATTATTCTTACCAATATTGTCAAATGTATGAGCCAAGTGTGCACTTCACACCCTTCCCAATATATAAGTGACTTCAATTGTATTGTATGCCCACACAAATGTATCTGAATGTGTTTTGTGTTTCAGTATTTCATATTTGCTGATGTGTTGTGCTGGCAGAATTAGAGGTGTTGGAATTTGTCAGAGTCCTTTTGTGTCTCTCCCCCAGCCATTTTCCCAGAGCCTGAGAAACCTCTTCTTCTAAAGAAGAATGTTTACACAACTTTGCATTGGTCGCCAAGTACATGAAGTTTTGCTTTTGAATGACTAGAGAACAGCCAGCAGCAGTGCTTCTTATGGTCTTGGAAGTGTTACTCTTCACTTTGTTTATGGCAGTAGTAAGCATGAGGATGAGCACACAGAATATTTTTATATTTGCAGAGAAAGGTTCAAAGCTTAAGTGCTGCCTGTCTGCCATTTGCAATCAGCAGCAGGCAGCGTGGAAGGACTCCTTGTAGGAAGTGGGGTAGTTGCTGTACTTGATAGAGGACTCTGTTCCAGGAGCTATCCTGTTTTGATTAATTCTCCCTGCCCTTTGCCAAATCTTGTCTGTAGGTCTTTTTCTCTGCTGAGTTTTCAAGAATGCTGCAAAAAAGTCCATGGCCTAGAGAAACACAGTGTTGCAGTTCACATACTACGTGCCAGAAATATCAGCTTCATTCCTGCCTGTTATTCCCAGTTTCCCTGACTAGCAGGCTGAACTTTAGTTTTAACATTTAAAGGAAGCAGTTGTTCAAAATGTAAAGTCTTAAATATGGTAGTTGATGTGACTACGTGATTAGTGATGTTCCCTTTAGATTCCAGGGGAAAATCCCCTTAACACATGGGTGCATGATGTTAGGAATGGAACTCTCCTTTAAAAGATCATAGCATCATAGAATGGTTTGTGTTGGAAAGGACCTCAAAGATCATCCAGTTCCAATCCACTTCTTATGGCAGGGAGACCTCCCACTAGACCATGTTGCTCAAGGCTCCATCCAAGCTGTCCTTGAACACTGCCAGGGATGGAGCATCAACAGCTTCCTTAGGCAACCTGTTCCAGTGTCTCACCACCTTCCTTATATCTAGTGTAAACCTATCCTCTCCCAGCTTCCAGCCATTACTGCTTGTGCTATCACTGCAGGCCCTGCTAAAAAGTCCCTCCCCACCTTTCCTGTAGCCCCCTTTAAGTACTGGAAGGCCGCTATAAGGTCTCCCCAGAGCCTTCTCTTCTCCAGGCTGAAGAACCCCAACTCCCTCAGCCTGTCCTCACAGGAGAGGTGTTCCAACCCTCTGACCATCTTGATAGCCTTTGTCCTGGGAATACTGCCTCTTTCAGTTTTGGGCCCTTCATCAACATGCCCCACTTTTCACATGCAATTTAACAGTAGTTGGAAGTGTTTTATCTTAAATTTGTCGTTTACATTACTCTCACTGGAAAACAGTTCTGTATATCAAGCTGGTATTGGTAGGACCCATGGGGAAGCAGTATATCTGCCTGTACTGTGCCCACATCTTGAGACTCGCCGATGCTGGCATAATATGCATCAAGAGGATATAAACTTCTTTGGTTTTATAAGCTTTTCCTTCATTTTTGCTTCTTGGCAAAATTCAATCAGCAGCATAAGTATAGGGTGGCTTCTGTGAATCTTGAGGTGCCAAGGATGGCAAGCATGAACCTTCAGCTGAAAAAAGCTTGAATTCAGTATAACTTCTTTAGTTTGTTCTGTACTTACATCTTTGGTAATTGATGCTGTTAAGTGTCTCCTGCCATGGTGTGGTTCGTAACCTCTGCAATTTCCTAGTGTTCAAACAAGCAGGTGCTTGAGGTGAAAAGCAAAACCGAAAGTTGAAAAAAATACCTTTCTAGCATAGTCTCACAAATATCCAGTAGCTTTGATTTCTTCAGGTGATACTCACAAACACTAAGGGGTTTTCCCCCTTCTGCACAGAAGAAATACGTGTTTTGTAAAGGGCAGTACAGAAGCACAACTTGATTTAGTTTAATTTAGGAGCTGGATCACCTTTTAGAGGAACTAAAATTTGTCCACTGAAAGGGGGAAATCAAGATTGACTAGAGTGACTAGAGCAAAGTCAGTCGTTGTGAATATTTTCTTCATTAATTCCCCAAGCCTACCATATTTACATCACTAGGGACGTTAGTTTGGAAATTCGATGGGACTAGATGCATGTAAGGTGTATGGCATGGGGTAATGAGACAACAGCCTGTGTAAGAGTACAAAAGAGTACAAAAACTTTTTGATGTGCTTTCTCACTTTCACAGCTGTTATCTTCCTGGGAGGCAGTGGAGGGGTGCTAGAAGATCTAAGGACAGGGAGGGGAGAACTTGCCAGTACTTGGTTTGTAAATGAAAGAGAAAGGGAGGTTGTAATAAAAGAAAAGTGACGTGTAAATGCTCTCTTCCAGTTTTCACCTGGCAGCCACGAAAGGGCATGCAGAGTGCCTCAGGATCATGGTGACACATGGTGCAGATGTGACAGCCCAAGATGGTGCAGGTATGCCTCTGTGAACCTACACACATAGCATTATACACTCAGTTTGCCTATATAGTTGTTGATGTGCAGAGTGCAACCACAGGTTTGATAACACTGCTTTTCCCTATACACTCCCATAGGAAAAGCAGTTGTAACACTTGCAGGTTTAGTCCTACTTGCTTTTCGGCACATAGAATTCAGATTCTAAAGCCCTTAAAAACTTTTGCCCTGATGCTATAAATGTCAGCATTTATAGTGGACTCCAGATGCAAATTAGCTGCTTGGTTTTTTTTTTTCTAATTTAAAAAAAAAAAAAATAAAATCCCCCTCTCCCAACTCTTTTTTGTTAACTTCATTTGAGGCTTTTTGTAGGTTAAATGAGGATCTTCAGTGTTGCTTTTATGTGTACTCCATTAACTGTACAGGAGTTGCAGTAAGACATTTCCTCAGGATTATGACATAATGAAAAGAGCTGATACAGGCCAAAACAGGGCTAAGAGCTATTAAGTATGCTGTTTCAGCCCTCAGAAGTCCTATGGCTTAATTACTGCTCCACTAGGAGAATGATGGGAGCTGAATTTGAAACTGGGAAACTCTTCTTAATAGATTTCGATTGACATATCTGTGGAATCTGTGCCCAGCATTTTCTCTGGCTAGCAAGTCACCTGAATGAGCTGACAGCACTCTGAGAATTCTGTCTCTCCTTTAATGACCTGTAAATGTTGCACTCATGGGATCAGCCATGGATTGCAGCCTGAGGGAATTTCTGTCATACGTGGAAATGATTTTCCTCTGTAAGGAGGCATTCAGATTATACATAATGATGTGAGTGTATGTACCTGATACAGAATCCATACTTCATCTTGCCTCAGGATTTATTAGTTGATTGGATAAGAGGTTGCCTGCTCTCACCTGAGAGTGTCGACCCAGTATTCATTAGGGATAGTGTTGTCTGTAATAGTCACATTATTTACAGTGAGATTCTACTGTCACAAGTGGCTCTGTCTGTATTGAGTACTAAATCTTGGCTTCTTCTTTTCTTAGTTACATGGATAATTTATTCTTTTGCTTTCTTGGCCTCTAATTTTTCAGATGCTCTGTAAGATGAAACTAGAGGAGAGTCTGCAGTCTTTCATCATAAATCTATAGTCAGTAAATCACTGTATTGCATAGCTGAGTATGAGCTCACAGATGCTAAGTAAATCAACAGAAAATAGTATCTATAAGATGCAAACTGAAGTAAGATTGTGTTCTGCATCCTCTTCTACATGCACTCCATGGATGATACAAATTTGTTGTAGTGGTAGCTGGTGAAATTTGGCAGGTTTTGCTCTTGGTGCTGGGTTCCTTTTCCATTGCCAAATGGAAGAAATCATGAGGATACATGACAGACATCTCTCTGCAAGGGAGGCTGAGTAACATAGGAAAACAGTTTTTGTTTCTGTCATTCCTTTGTATAAAGCTAGACATTAAGATATTCTCTTACCTGCCTGAACAACACTCTGTCATAAATACATTCTGCTTGATACAGGTTTTTCTTTTATTTTCTCTATCCTTACTTTTCATGTGTCATGATAGGAACAAGATAGATGATTCAGACTTTTGCCCTTCTCATGACAGAGTTTATTCATGTGCTTTGGCGTGACTGGATACTGAATTTGCTTTGCTCTTACTCATTTAGGGCACAGTGCTTTACATCTTGCAGCAAAGAACAGCCACCCTGATTGCATTAAGAGGTTACTTCAGGTAAAGTAAAAATTAAATTAATTTTGAGTTTTGAAGTTTTCCTTTTGCTCCCCTAGATTGGTTCCACTAGATAGTGACACATTTCCTGCTAACAATCTGCATCACACACACAAAATACTGTTGTCTTGTCTCCTTACAATCAAGAGAGGTGCTTGAGTTTGAAGACCTTTTAGGCACTGAATGGATGATAGAGAACAGTGTGGTATCTTCCCTGAGTGGTCCACAAATACAGTTTTCCATGTGCAGCTGATCTGACGTAGCAGGTTTGGGTTTCAGGCACGTTGCAGGTTCTGTCTAACTTCCTGTGTTTTGTCTGTGTGGTTGGGTGGCTCGGAAGTAGATGGATTAAGAGGTATAGGGGAAAAGGATTTTTCATTTCTGGGGGGATTTTGATACTGTTTCACTGGAATGCCTTCTGTCTGTTTTTGACCACAGAAATGTCTGTCCAGTTTAAAGTCAAAGGGAGAAGAAACCGAAGTAGTTTAGTTGCTAAAATATGGAAGTACTCAAATCCTCAGTGAAATGAGGTGAAGGACAGTGAGGGGTTAGAAAGGGAGTAGAAAGAATGGGGAAAGAATAAAAAAAACCAAAAGTGAACATGAAGAGAAGATTCTCGTGGTGTTCAGGCTGTAGATGCGCGTTAGTAAGCAAGGAGAGACATTGTCCCAATCAGCTCCGTTTCAGAAAGCCAGGTGAGTTTTGGTGGACGTAGTCAGAGGACTGGGACATATTTTTAGGAATTTGGAGTTACCAGTAAGACTGTGGCTCAGACTACAAATGAAATAATGAATAATAACCCTGCTCCAGCACAGTGGTACAGGAAGAGAATGGATCCCATTTCCCAACCTCTAAATTGCTTTTCGGGCGCAGGTCTTTGTAGTTGTCCTGTGACTGACCCTGTCGATGTCTCTGGCAATATTTGGTCCAATTTCACAGATTCCCGCCTCTATACTCCTTGCAAGCTGAGTCCCCTGTTCCTTCACACCTGGAAAGGGTTATCATTAGCCACTGAGGCTCCCGCTCTGGTATTTCATTGCGAGTACCTACTACGTCTAACGCGAACACGTTTACAGCACAAACAGTGACATCAAGCTGTCACCGATGGTATCGCATGCAGCAGCATGATCAGCTTGGCAACTAGATGTGTGCTTAATACCAGCTACCTGCTGCCCGTTCACTTCCTAGCTACAACCACAGAGTGCTTTTGTTGATATTTTCCTAATTTTATTCCAATATTTCTAAATTTGTTTGTAAGTGCAAACCCATTGGTAATATTCTCCAATAATTCATGATCTTTGGATTGCTTTCTTGCTTCTGTGCACCAGCTTGGTGATATAAATTGTACATGTGAGGAATGTCTAATCCTTACATGCTGGAGTTGAATTAAAAGAGGCTAAATAATTATTTTACACAGGCAGAGCCTTGACATTTTTGTTACAGAATGTGGTAATCTATGTGAACCTGTTTCCCTAGAAAATCACGGAAGTGGAGGCAGTGCTACATTTGAAAGTCAAAAGCTCTAATGTTTGTTTTTTAGAAGCCTGGTTTTTTAGGTTCATATCTTCTCGTGTCCAAAGAGCAGCAATGAAGCTGATGAAGGGTCTAAAGCCTAAGTCCTTGAGGAGCAACTGAGGGAACTGGGGTAGTTCTGTCTGGAGAAGAGGAGGCTGAGGGGAGACCTTATTGCTCTCTACAGCTACCTGACAGGAGGTTGTAGGGAGGTGGGTGTTGGTCTCTCCTCCCGAGTAACAGGTGATAGGACAAGAGGAAGTGGCCTCAAGTTGCACCAGGGGAGATTTAGGTTGGACATTAGGAAAAATTTTGTCACCAAAGGGGTTATCAGCTGTTGGAACAGGCTGTCCAGGGAAGTGATTGAGTCACCATCGCTGGAGGTATTTAAAGGACACGTAGATGTGGTGCTTAGGGACATGGTTTAGTGGTGGACTTGGCAGTGCTGGGTTAATGGTTGGACTTGATGATCTTGAAGGTCTTTTCCAATCTGAATGGTGCTATGATTCTCTTTCTTTACTGTAAACTAAAACTAAAATCTTCTGTACCAAAACAAGTCTTGATAAAGATTTTAAATCTTTTTTTTTCATTTATTTATTACTTTGAAGTCCAGATTGATGAGTAGTAGCTGGTGGCTTATAATACCACAAAATATAACCAGATTGTTGATGTTTTAGTTTTTACAAGTGCAAATGAAGCCTTATTGCCTTCAACAGAAATAATGCAAGACTAATTGCCTTAGGACATGTTGCTTTAGCTCTTACTGTAATGTAAAAAAAAAAAAAAAAAAAAGAAGCTTTTCTGAGGCAAGGAAAGGAGTTTCTTTCCTTTTTTATTTCCTGTTTTAAATTGTTCCAAAACTATAACATGTTTTAGGATATCTCTCTCACCATGAGTATTTCCTATGGCTTCAGTATAAGCTGGTACCATGAAAGGAGAGACCAGATTGGAGGAGAGGAAAGCTGTGCCTTTCTTCAGTATTCTTTTCTGAAGTAGCTCATAAAACTTTTCGTGAAGATGTTCAGCACTCTGTCCTTAGCATCAAACATAGGTTTTATTTTCTTGGTGCTTGTCTAATTGCTTTTTTTTCCTTCTCCTTATTGAACTGTGAAGAGTAAGTGTCCAGCAGACAGCACTGACAATTCTGGGAAAACAGCTTTACATTATGCAGGTAACTTCTTTGTTGAAAGCTTGTACTATCTATTTTGTCTGTGCTTGGTATTCCTAGCCCTTCAGCCTGCTGGAGCTTTTTCAGTTCTAATTATGTAAATCTAGTAACTCCACCTGATGTTTTACAAATTTCAGGTATTTTTTTAAATAAGTACTATGAATACTGATTTTCAGTTAATTACAGTTAACAGCTTAACTTGTACACTTGCAAGTACAGAGCCATTGGAATATTTAAGATTAGGTCGATTTTGATTTCAGTCTTTAAAGATTATAGCTTTTCATGTTAATTAGGACCATGAATATTGGTTGTATTCAACTGCATACAACTTGTTGTCCATCCTTTTAGTCTTTCTCTCCCTCCTTCTTAAAACAGAGAAATACAGTTTCATTTGTTTTTCTTGGACCCCACTTTAATGCTGCAGTATTGCAAATGGAAATGTGGAACACAAATTTTGAAAATGGGATTTAATGAACTTTCTTGCTTGTCTTTCTTTTTAGCTGCATGTGGTTGTCTTCAGGCAGTTCAGCTTCTGTGTGAACACAAATGCCCAATTAACATCAAAGATTTGGTACGTACCCTTTCTACCTCAGATACTTCAGAGCTTTTACCGCCCTCTACTCCAGTCAATCTCAGGTGCAGCAGTTCAAAGCAATACTGTGCTTATATTTTACCTTGGATTTCTCTGGTGGAGGAAGTTCCTTTTGCAGCTTGCTATAGCAGAGGTACTTCACAATCTAATACAGTAGTGGCAGAATTTGCTGCTCGTTAAATTGAGGCCTTGGTACAAGTAGCTAGAATGAATTCTGATATATTCAAAACATGATTAAAAGTCCGTTGGCTCTAGTAGGCTTTGGAAAAGGACCGTTATGTGGCTAGGTGCTGTGAAATGCTTACAAAGCACAGCCAGAGTATAATACACCTGAGGGGAAGAATTATACTTGATGTAGTCTAAAGGCTCAGGGACACAACATTCACTATTATGAAATGTTTACAGCCAACCGGGTCTGGTTTTGGGAATGATGCAACTGCCTGATAGAAACCCCTCTGATGATAAAGGAAGAGGACCTGACAGAAATGAGGCACAAAAGGAAAATAAAGGCATACAAATATTTAAATTTTTTTGTTTGTTTTTGACTTGGATCTATCTCCTTGTCTGGTGCTTCTAATAAAAAAAATCTGTCGCAGAGGTTAGCCCTAAAATTTCAGCAGATACATTTTAAAGGCAGAAAATATTTGATCAATCTTATGAAGAGAAGGCTGTAGGAGTATCTTAAAAATGTCCTCAGCTATGTCATTGGTGATCATAGGGAAGAGGGAGTGAGACCAGCCTCAGAGGTGCATGACAAAATGATATCAAGCAGTGGCTGGAATTTGGGCCTGAAGGTGGTCCAGCACTGGAACTAGTGCTGAGACATCGTGCTGTCTTTGCCTTTGGAGATGCTTAAAACTTGACTGGACAAGTCTCTGAACAATGTACTGTAACTTGAAGTTTGCCTAGTTTTGGATTGAGAGCAAAGGGGAGAAATCCCAGATATCCTCTAAAGGTGTCTTCCAACTAAGTTTTTCTGTGATTATATGAAATGTTGTCTTTTTGCCTTGTACTTACTTAAGATTATCATATTTGTTGTGGGGCTATTTGAAGTTATTGTGTAGTTCCAAGAGCATCATTTTATAGCATTAAGGAAACAGCAAAGAGAGTAGGAACAGCAAAAAGCATTCCTATGCTTTGCATCCCCAGTGGTCAAGAAAGGAAATAAAGTAAAACCAGCTACATTTATGGTATGCGAGAAAAATGTACCGATAGTGCATCGTTTGTGCTATATAGAAGAAAAGCTCATAGCTGACCTTTAAATCTCAGAGAGGTGTTTGTACGTGGATGGATTATTGTTCATAGTTTCTTTAAATGCATTCCTAGGATGGGAACATACCTTTGCTGCTTGCAGTACAAAATGGTCATACGGAAGTCTGCAAATACCTTCTGGATCATGGAGCAGACATCAACACCAGGGATAAAAATGGAAGGTACAGCAGGTTAACATGTTAATTCTTCCCCCAGGCTGACTGTCAAAAGAAGCTTTCTTCTCAAATCCTTCCCCAAACTGTTGTTGCTAGGTGAAATAATGCCTTCTGTACTAGACAGCATATCCTGGTTGTTGAGAAGGCTTACAAAATTCTGCCGAAAGGGAAAGGGGAAATAGAAACCATGAAACTATAAAACTAGATGAGCCTGGGCTACGAGAGCAGTAAATCCCATTTTTAAATAATTCCTACAAGAATCTGATTGATAGCACTTGCCCACACATCACCCACACATGTACATGTCCCAGTTTTAAATGCTGCTCTCTTCTTAGCATAAGATATTTTCTCCAACTTAAATCCTAAAACCGTTACTTGGGAGTGACATCTGTGGAGCGTTCTTTTTTTCTGCTGTGATGCAGCCATAGCAGCAAGAGAAAAATACAGTAAAGCTGTGGAGTGGAGATGCTGTTGTCTTAGAAGGTGCTGTTTAGAAATTTGTTGCCTTAATAGATAGTGAGCGTGTCAGAAAGCTGTTTCTGAAAAGCAACATCTTTGTAGTGAAAAATGCACTTGTTTAGATGATACTGATGGAGATCAAGAGTCTGAAAATTATGAACTGTTTATAACAGTTGGTTAAACTGTGAAGGTAAAGCAGGATGCTGAGAAGACTTGGCACTTACACCTGATGGCAGTCTTGATTACTATATGTGATACAATGCTCATATTGTTCTTTGGCAGCACCTGGAAGGATAAGACTGGGACTTAACTTGGTTTTTTGTCAGTCCAAAGTTTATTAGCGCACTCTTTGTTTTACATTGTCTAAAGAAAACCCTTACGTCCTCTTGGTTGGTTTGAATGGCCTCGTCAGTGCTTTGAACCTGGAGTGCTGCCCACTCTGAGACCTCTGCCTTCTGCTGCTTCTCTTACTGTTTAATCAAAAGATAGTGTTAAGAGTTTCTAGTTTAAGTGGATGAAGGTGTCTCTCTCACAGGTAGGACAGACTTGCTTTTTTGTATTTTCTTTTTTAAGAAAGGACTGTGTGTAGAAGCAAGAAAATGATCTGACATGGAATATACCGTTTTACTTGTCACTTTCCTTCTGGTGAGGAGAGTGACTACTCTGGCATCTTGTGTTCACGAAAGTGGCTATGGATTTTCTGAAAAGGAGAAGACTTACTGGGATAGGTAGGGGATAGGATAAACTTTGAAAATGGTATCCCAAATTTCCAATCTTGTCCAGACTAAGTGAATTATTTTGGTAATCTAAAACGATCCCTGTGACTCTGGAGGTGTTATCCAAGTTGCCACTCACCACTACTTTTTAGCACAGCACTGGAACAGCCATCGCTTTCCAGGGCTTTCCCATTACTAGGAGTATGTTTAATTAATCAGTGAAATTATTATCTTAATATCTAGCAAATATTACCACTGTAGCAACTTTCCAGTTTCATATCTGCACTGAGGAATGTGTTTGACAGTGAACTTGGCCAACCTATTAGGCATGTTTTCATGTTGAGAAGGGAGAATTATGCCAAGCAGGAAAGCAGTATTAGAGCCTGCTTGAAAGGTGGTGGTTTCTGTGTGTTTGTAATTATTTTGTACATCTCTTATGACCCGTTCAAGTAATTGAGAAAAATACATACAACCTGTTAGGAAAATACTTCTTCTATATGTTACCCTTAGGATCTGTTGCCCTTAGATCTAGGATCTGGTGCTGTCTAGTTGCCTTGTGTTGGAGAGCGAGTTGATTGTGTCCTAGTGGACTTTTCTTGGGTTTTTTAAACTGAGTAGATTAGGATTTGAGGTTCAACCCATCTCTCAGTCTCACTGAAGAGCTTTGAGATTTGTTTGGCTTTTTGGTTGAAATGTCTGTCTCTATTTTGTCTTAAAAGCAACATATGAAGGAGACCATCAATTAAATAAATGCTTTCGTGTTGTACCACCACTTGCAGAACTGTAATTGGAGTGTGGCAGTAAGATTTGATAGTCTGACTTCATGCTGCAGTCATTTCTGTCTATGATTCTCCTCTTAGCCTCAGGAACCCATTTTTAGAAGTGTTTGGAGACCTGTGCAAAGCATGCCAGGTTTTTGCAGAATGTCCAGCTGGGGAGTATGGGGAAGAGGAGAAGGGGCAGGCAGGTGTTCGTACGGAGAAACAACAGTTACATAAATGTGTCAATACACCTGTCGATAAAGTCTTGGACTTTATTGTACAATAACCGTCACACTTCTTTTCCTGAAAAAAACGAACTGTCTCTTAAAGAGTACGCTCTTGACACTTACTTTGTGTGTGTTTTGTTTTGTCCAGAACTGCTTTGATGATGGCTTGTGAAGCTGGTAACATTAACATGGTGGAAGCCTTCCTTAGGAAAGGTGCAGATGTCAGTTTAGTAGATGTCTTTGGACAGAATGCCCTGCATTACTCCAAGCTCTCCGAGAATACAGAGATCCAAAATCTCCTATCATCTAAGTTATCTCAGGATGTGGGTATGTAAGAGATGCAAATCTGCAGTTTGTCACTTCTTGAACTGGCTACATGTGTGTTTAACAAAGAACAAATTTACTTCATAAAGTAGCCTGAAAAGTTTCAAAAGCTGTCTTCAAGGTGGTCTGGCTGAGGCTTCGTAAAAGCGGGAAAGCGTGATCTTTGCTGTAGGTGGTAATATTAGCATGGGATAAAGCACCGAGCAGGGCAAAAAGAGGTGTTTTGGAGAAAGGAAAGGTAAGCTGATGTGGCAGCATTGTGAAGTCTTGCGTACAATTTGAAACAGATCCTTTTTTATTGTGTGAAAGAGTAAGTGGACCATACAGCTCCTCAGTAGAGGGGTTGGAGAAGGGACTAATGGAGGCAGAGGGTTTTATGTTCAAAGTAAGATAAATTTCTAAAGTAGGAAGCTAATGTGCAAGAATGGTGCGAGACGAGACTATAATAGAATAAAAATGCTCACAGTCCTTCAAATTTTGTCTCAATATGAAACACAAAAAGCAGCTGAGAAAGGATCTGGTTCATATGGAATCGGAAGTTAAAGTACGTTTCTCAGATTTCAGAGAGGAATTCAAAAGCCAAGCAAAGTATTTATGGTGTGGGAAGTAGTGCTGAGATAATGGGTTAGGAATGGTAAATAACTTTTCTCTTTGATAGCTCTTCTTAATTCCACTTCTTTTCTGCTTCACAGATACAAAGTCACCAATAAAAGCAAAGCAGGTATTTGTCCTTCTGGTTTTAAAAATACTTGGGCTGTATAGACTTGTAACTTAAGAAAAAAACGGTAATTAACATGACTAGAAGCACTAGTAAATGTCATTGTAATATACACTGCCATTGACTACTCTGTAATGTGAAGGGTTTTTTATTTAAGAAATGTGTTTTGGGAACATTGCTTTTAGACTTAGCTTCTCTCTGTAACAGCAGCCAGCACCCTCAGTGAGAAGAGGAAGGGAGGGCGTGTGTGTGTGTGCACATGTGTACCAGGAAGATCTCATGTGTGATGCAGGAGCTTGGCTTTTGGACTCCCTTCCTCTTTAAACTGCAGGGAAGAAGACCTAGAAAAGTTTCCCATTAACTTACTGTTGAAGGTTATCCCTGGTTACATCTGACTGGAGATCCCTACCTGTGAGAATCCCAGGAGATTTAAGCAATTAAATTAGTTTCTTACATTTTTTGTTTAGTATCATATCTCAGAGTGCAAGTAGACCTTGTAGACCTGCCGGTGGCAGGAAAGTGGACAAGGGTGCAATTCATTGGTCCATTCCTTCTCCGAGTGGAGAGGTGGGTTTTTCAGGGAGTTAAGGCAGAAGTTGGTGGAGAAGAAAGATGGTAGCTGTTAAGAATGCCGTGACTGGTCTATGTATGAATGGAAGTATTTAGGATCACTAGTGCTAAACCTATTGTCAGCTTCTGCTTTTTCACTAAATCTTGTTTGTTTTCACTGAAGCATGGATTACAAGGGGGTGGATTGTTATTGTCAGGCATGTTTAATATCTTTGTGTTAGTAGAGATGTAGTCTTTACACAGAAAAAAAAAGGCACTGCATGAGCTGCTAAAGTTGATATTAATGTGGGATTTTTTTTCTATTTTTTTTTCTGTATTTATTTTAATATAAAACGACTTGCTCGGACTTTACTAACCAAACTAACAAACCTACCTTTTCTGGCTGGTGAAACTTTCAGCATGATCAAGGCTCTAAATTAAGTTCAGAAAGAAGTGGAACTCCAAAAAAACGCAAAGCCCCACCTCCTCCTATCAGTCCTGTTCAGGTAAAGAAAAGACCAATTTTGAGATGCTTTTAGGGGGTGAAAAGCATTTTGAACATTATGTGAATGATGTGGGCTGGATTTCCTCTGTCACTGTTACTTCATATGCCTGTCTTACCATGAGTGCTTTCCTGACGTTAGGATGACACCATGAAAGCACATGTTGGTTAGGTTAACTAAGCAAAATTGCTTGAAATACAGCATGGTCTAAGATAGAACTGTACAAATGTTACTGTACAATTGCTTCTTCCATATAAAGTTGAAGGTCTCCCCATTTTGCCGACTTCCATAGGTAAATAACTATGCGTATTTTAATTATGGATATACATGTACACATTATTATATGCATATATACATATGAAAGTAAAATACTTCAGTAGATTTATATAGTATCAAAATGCAGTTTAACAGTTAGGTTTAATGTTAAACTGGAATGTTACCTGTATAGCAGCTACACTGCATATGTGATACTGACTCAGAAGAGCACTGAATTGTATCTGCTCTTTGAAACTAACCTGGAGTTGTGACTTAATGTTAGTGCAGAGAAAAAGACTCTTTAATGTGTGTGTGCCCATATATATATGAGCACATGTTAGAGAGGTGGTTATATGTACATATATGTATACGTACCTGTTTATGTAAAATCTTTTACAGCCTAGTGATTTGTCCTCTCCACACTCATCAACTTCAACTCCCATGACTGGAAAAGGGCAGGCTTTCTTTGCTGATCAAGTGTGCAAGGTAGCAATTTTCTGTTCTTATGAAGCTTTGGGAAGGACAGTATAGTATCTTCATAACCTACTTTGCTTAATAATCTATTTTGCTGTCTGCAGAGTCTCCTGTGAATTAATGTGCTGAGTTTTAGGAACAAAAAGGAATATAAATCTATTTCAATGTAATTTATAAAGCAAGTGTGGATTACTTTAATGTTTACTGACTATATAAATAGAATTAGTCATAAATTAGTCAATATTTATTAATATGGTTATGAAAGTAAGTATTAATGCTGTGAGAGCTCATTACCCAACACCAGCAAAGTGCATGGCATTATGCAATAGAGATAGTAGAGACCCTTTCACCAAAAGACAGCAGGGATATGGTTGAGTATGTTGTGTCTGATCTTTACCTTATGGTATTGAAGAGGGTTTTTTTTTTTAATACATGACAATATATTGCTATTTTTTGTCACAGGGGCTGCAGCCTTCCAAGCTACCTATGAGATAGCCGTGCACATTTCAGTAGTATTTAATGAAAATTGGGCAATAGAACTTGAATGGCTTTAGCAGATTTTGAAATACTGGCCACATACTGTAATTTAAAAAGACCCTAGAAATAAAAGAAACACGTTCTGCCAGGCTTTATCCAGCAAGTTCTATACTGTCTATACTTTTCTTTGGGGAGCTGTCAAACTTTACATCTGCTTTCTATGCAAGTGTTTTCTTTTTGTGTCTAAGCAGGAAGAATTCAGCACCTTGCACCGAGATAGTAAAGACAGACTGAGTGACAGCACAACAGGTATACAATAACAGTCCTTATTTTTGTGTTTGGTTAGGTGTTTTAGGTGGTGTGAAATGTTGAAATCAGGTTAGAAATCCTCTGTGCCTTTCTGCTTAGAATCTGAGACACAGTAAGTATTGGGAGTAACATTTTGTAATTTCACTAGCAGCTTCCCACCAGAACTTCTGCTTCTGTTGGGTGATCTAACCCATTTTTGGGGAAGGAGTTTCTAGGAACAGTTTGCTTGCTCCTGTACTTAGTAGTCATGGAAACTAACTGTTTAATTTGAAAGGTTAGAATAACTAACTAGCTAGCATTTCAGCTTTTTGAAAGCTTTTGAATCTTATTTTTCTCCAAAGGTGCTGAGAGTTTATTGGATGTGAGTTCTGAAGCTGACCAGCAAGATCTACTTCTGTTGATGCAAGCAAAAATTGCTTCCTTGACATTGCACAATAAGGAGCTGCAGGACAAATTACAGGTGGCATATTTTTGTGCTGTTCTAGAACTCTCTTAATCTGCTAGTAGAACAAAGAGCTGCTTACTGTTTTAAAGAGATGTACTGTGAAGATAATTTAATGAGCTTTTTGGTGGTAAGATCATGGAAACACTCTGACCCAAAGGATTAAATCACTTCTTTTGATCTTCTCACTTTTCCCATAAATTACTGAATAACTTTGTTCATTATGATAACCACATTCTAGAAGACGTTAGCAGTTGTGTTAACAGAATTTTAATTTGCATATCTTTGATTATTAGCTTATGGAGATCAGCTCAGACTTTCAGAGGAACTTGGCACTTACTGCTTTCTCTCTCTGTAGGTGACTAAATGGGAGCAGCTGGGTTTTGAAATTTTCTGTAACTTTCTTCCACAGTACTTTAATTGTCTCTCTCTATAGGATGTGGCAAGATTTCCGTGTGTACTCTGTTTGAAAAAATACAGTCCTCTACTTGTTTTCATTGTGCAATTGTTTGGGTTTCTTTTTGCACAGGAAAGAACACCTAAAGAAGTGGATTCAACTGTAGAATCTTATCATTCAGTCCAAACAGAGTTTGAGCAAATAGCAGATAGACAAAGTGAGTTCGCATCTCAGGAGCTGAAGTCTACATTAAATGTCACCCAAATTCAAGAAAAGTTGACAAGCCCCAGTGAAGTAAAAAAGAAGTACCTCCAGGAAGACTTAAAGGACGTGCAGAGGAAATTAGAGAATTCTGAAGCCAAAAGAAAGCACATAGAAGCTCAGGTCCAGTCTAGAGTCCCAGAAACAGATCATTTAAATAGCACAGACATTTCAGAAAATGGTTCTGATCTTAACTTGAAGTTCCAAGAAACTCAAAACAGGTATGAGGAAGCTGTGAAAGAGGTTTCAAATGTACAAAGGCAAATGAAGCTGGGTCTTGTTTCCTCAGAAAGTGAAGAAACCAGTTCTGATCTGAGTAGGTTGAAGGTTACGTGTGGAGAAGTTGAAATGCTTAAGCAAGAACTGAAGAGAGCGTTGGAGGAAAGTGAAAGACAAAAAGAGAAAGTGAGAGAGCTACAGAAAAAGTTTGATGAAAGAGAGAAGAATGTGGCAAGCAAATGCTCTGTGGAAGAGTGTGAGGAAATGAAGAATTCATATTGTTCAGTTATTGACAACATTAATCAAGAGAAAGCATTGTTGATTGAGAGGTACAAAGAAGGGCAAGAGGAAATTAAAAGGCTGCAGGACAAGCTGACAAATCAGACACAGTTGGAATCTAGTGCTGAAGCTGGAGAAATGAAAGATGTGATGCACAGAATGGTAGATGAGCTCAACACACAACTTAGTGAATTGTCTCAGTTGTACAAAGAAGCACAAACAGAGCTTGAAGACTATAAGAAGAGAAAAACTCTAGATGATATAGCTTTGGACTACATTCCTAGAGATGAACATGATAAACTGATGCAGGTAACAAATTCTTTGAAATACAAAGCAGAGAATGAGTTATCAGAAATTAAATCCCAGTACACAAAAGTATTAGATGAAGCAGAAGAACTAAAGCAGATGTTAGATGCTCAGAAACAAAACTCTTTGCCAATTACTGAACACCATCAGGTGATGAAAGCACTCAGAAATACTGTAAAGGAAATGGAGGAAGAAATAAATGAGCTTAAAGGACTGATAACCAACAAGGAAAGCGAAGTAAGAAACTTACAGAAGGAATTACTGGAAGAAAAAGCTGCAGTTAATGAAGCGATGGTACCCAAGGCCACATATGAAAAGCTCCAGTCGTCACTAGAGGGTGAAGTTAGTGTGTTGTCATCCAAGCTGAGGGATGTAATCCAAGAGAAGGAAAATGTATCCTTAGATGCTATGCAACTGAGAAATGAAGTTTTGCGCTTGAAAGAAGAGAAAGAAGGTGTGTGTACTCTGCTTGAAGCAAAGGAACGAGAGGTGACTGGTCTTCAGCAAAAGTACCACCAAGCTCAAGAAGATCTTCTTGAAATGAAAAGATATTCTGAAAGCTCATCAAAACTCGAAGAGGATAAAGATAAAAAGGTTAGTAATTCACTACAGTGGAGCAGTAGCACATGAGTTCAGACATGTTGGATGGTGCATGCGTGACCCTTTAGACGATGTCATGTGAAGAGTCACAGAGTGGAGTAACTTTTGAGTGCGTTTGCCCATCTAAAAATTCAGATATCAAAGTCAAAGAAGTTTTCAGTATGATGACTCTATGGTTGGTTTCTCTCTCCTGTGAAGATGTGCATGATCTTTCAGTTTACCTTTTTTTAAGTTCTGCTTAGTTTGGGTCCGCCCTATTCAGACAGCTGAATTCAAAGAGGTGGGATTTACGGCAGGAAGAGATTTGAGAGAAGGCAAGAAAATAAAGGATCAGAAAGGTGCAAAAATTCACCGTTCACCTTAGCATGACTTGACTATTTTTCCTCTGCAGGTACCATATCTGCCCCTACAAATTTATTTACAAAAAAGCTATGTATTTTGCTAGCTGTGAATAGCTGGCTGGTTTGGTGTGTTTCTGTTATGTGTACAGCAGCAGTATTTGCAAAGGTGGTAAATGCAATCCTTGCTGGCTTTCAGAACAACAAATGCATTTTGAATTGACTGGGCTAGGCGGGGGGATAGAGAAGCATTGTAACCCTTTGCTCACATGATGTCTGTGTTTGTACATTGATTTTTTCCCCACTTCTTAAAATTAAGTCACAAATAACCCAAGATGAGACCTGGAAGAATACAGTGTGCCTTGCAGGTTTTCATGAAGACCTATTTTTTGCCTCCTTAGATCAATGAAATGTCCAAGGAAGTTAGCAAATTAAAAGAAGCATTGAACAGCCTTTCTCAGCTTTCCTACTCAACCAGTGCCCCCAAGAGACAAAGCCAGCAGCTGGAGGCATTACAACAACAAGTGAAGCAGTTGCAAAACCAACTGACTGTAAGTGTGATAGTTTGTAAGCCCACCATTATTCCCAGTTCTCCAGAGATACGCATGTCATTCTTTACTCTCCCTTATTTAAAATGGAGCACAGGGTACTGGTACAAGAAAGGAATTTTCATCCAGAAATTCTATAATAGCTCTGTTTCTCTGAAACGTTCAGGACTCTCCAAGTCACAGATTGCTCTTCAGAAATAGCCTAACTGAAGAAAGCTGGTTTTCCCCAATATGTTTCCTCAGATGAATAGTGGAGTAAAGTTCCTATACTTGTAGTGGAATGTAGTGACCAGACCTGCTGCTGAGACCCTGATTTGTGAAAAATATGGCCAATGTGCAGTGGATTTGTGTGTTTTCTCAAGAACATTAATCAACTGAAGTCTTTTTTTTTTTTTTTTTAAGCTAAAATAAGTTTAACTTTATGGAAGAAAGTAGTCCCTGAAGTTCAAGCAAGTCCACCAGTTTATAGGGAGCACCATTTATTCTCTGAAATTCTGAACTGCTTAAGATTTCTTTTTTATTGTATTTGTTTGTATATGAAAGGTCCAGTCTTCTAAGCTGGGTTGAGTCATAATTGCTGTTTCCAAGAGCTTGCCTGTCCAAAGGAGCACTTTAATTCACTGCAAAGGGTGAAAAGAAGGTACTGCCCACCAGAGGCCTTTGTGAGAGCTCTGGAGTAACTCTGAAAGGAGAATTCCCAGCTTGACGTGCTAAATGGCTTACCCGGTGTCTGCTTTCCTGCCTTCCCCAGCAGACAGAAAGGAGGCTCAGTGTGCATATGGGCCAGCAAAATTCACTTGCAGTGGGAGAAATAAGTAGGCAGACGGTTAAACACTGCGTCCTGTCAGTGTAAAGGCCCAGACTGTTTCTTATTCCAGTCCACCAAGTCTGAAAGGGCCCTTCATCTCCCACTGTTCAAGGACCAGCAAAGTAGTGTCAGGTGCAAAGATAGGCAACACATTAGGAAAGTAGGTGGGATTTAAAACAGGACAGAAGCCTTCTCTCCCTCTTATAGGCTAGCTTTCTTAACAGCTTCACATTTATTTGGATAGATGGCTTCTGGGATGTGGCAGTCTGTGATCGTGAAGAAGGAGGTTGGCTTTCCTTGTTTGAATGTATAATAATTAACTGCGGATTTCATGGGTTAAGACCTTTGTAAGCACTTTCTCTTCCCTGGGAAGGCATTGTCTGACAGGTGGGTCACCAGCTTCAAGGGAGAGCTCAGCTGCATTTGAGGGTTGATTTGTCAGAATATTCTTGGTTTCCTCAGTTCTGGTTGCTTATAAGAGTAGGTGCTCATTCCACATCTTTGCAGCTCAGCACTTCTGATGTCATCTCACTATCTTTTTTAGTGGGATGGACAGAATTACAGCGTTTCTGTGGCCCATGCTTCCAAGCAAATTACGTTTTGGATGGCTGGTGGCACAGTACTGTCTGAGCTGGTTTTGCATGAATGCGTAAGACTATAGTTTGTAATTCCCCAGAGCTCTCTACATCTAGTTGAAGAGTTCTGAATTCAACAGTTCTGAATGCTCTGTGAATTTCTGCTTAACTATTTTCTAGGAAACAAAGAAACAACATCAGGAAATTGTCTCAGTCTACAGGATGCATCTTCTCTATGCTGTGCAGGTATGTTTGCATGTTGTCAGTTATACAGCATTGGTGTTTTAATGGAAGGTGTTTCTTCTGCAGGTCTAGTAAGAACTTTGCATGTTTTGTCTAAGGCGTCCTACCCAAAAGGTATGACTGTTTAAGCAGAAATTTAACACTGCTTCCTTTTGGGAAGTTGCTGTAATTACTGTACCTCAAAAATGGTTTGTAAATCTTCTTAAAGAGTAGAGAGATGCTTGAATTCAATCATCTTTTCTTCTTTCTCCCCTTGTCTAGGGTCAAATGGATGAAGATGTCCAGAAAGTTCTTAAACAAATTTTATCCATGTGTAAAAGCCAATCGCAGAAAAAGTAAACGAAAAAGCCAAGGAAAACTCCCCATTTTTATTAATCCTGTTACAGATGTTTATCTAGATTTGCCTTACCGTAAGATTTAAAATTGGCAATTTGCTGCTTTTGTGTTATTGTGCTGTTTGTGAGGTGGATTTTTTTTTGTCTGTGTCTTACCACTTCGCATGTGCATTTGCGTGTGCAGTAACTAAACACATGCCTGCTTTTCCTATCCAAAATGCAAGTATGTTCTTCAGACTTTTTACATAGGCCACTCCATGTCATGTTTACCCTGAAAGTACTTTCTAGCTTCCTCCCACAGAGGAGGTTAATCTAGGGGAAAGCACTCGTGTTGCCTGGGTAAAGGTGAGGTTCTCCGTAAGGCCTTCTGTGCTGTTTATAAGCTGCACCTTGTTACTGGGGAGTACCTTAGTTGCTTGATGTCGTAGCACTCAGATTCCTGACATGTTGCCATATGCAGTCTTTGGCAGAGCAGAAGTGAGCCTCGCAGCAGTGAGCAGAAGTAGGTGTTTATGCCAAGCCAGGACATCAAGCAGCTACACTTCTTAGTGTAGCGTTACTTAAGATTAACGCACCGTGAAGGAGCTCTCCCAACCCATCCAATGCACTGAGTACACAGGAATCATACCGTGCTTCATAGTTTCCTTGAACTGCCTGGTAGTGAAGTGAAACTATTTCAAAAGGTAATCATTGGTTTATTGAAGCTCTGTACAAAGCAGTACAGAAACAGAAACGTCTGTATAAACAACCCTTTATGATAGGTTTAGCTATCTATGCAAGTGTTGGCCATGAAGCTCAGGAACAAAACCAGAACATAAACTTTAGACAAGGGGATTCTAGTGAACACAGGATGTTTACAGTGAATGTCAATGCCTCATACTTCCTAACCTCGCTTTTGTAAAGATCTTCTCTTCAGTATATTTTTATTGGCCCTCTAATGAACTTTTTTGTAATGAAACCATTTTTTCTACATAATGTTTGCATTATTAACAAATATATTTAGGTAATCGTGTTTTAGAGAGTTTCTTTTTATACCCCCGAGTATTCAGTGATAGTGAAGCATAGTGAAGTGTTTTGAGTTTGTAACAGATCTGTACAGAATAATAGACCTGTCTGTCAGTGTGGTCCAGAGCAGTGAAGTGTAAAATGCAACTCAGCCTGCTGTTGCAACAAATGTAGAAGTGAGAGGCAGAGAACAGCAAAAGGTGTCACAAATTTCTACATGTTGTTTCTAGGGGCCAGGGGTGTCAGTAAAGCCTATGTCAGCACTTTTAAATTTAAAGTCAAATAAAAATGCCTGATGTGGTATAGTATGAAACTATGGAAAAAATGTTTCTCAGCACACACTGCACTTGAGGGTACAACCATTCTACCTAGCTTGCAGCTTCACTATGGTATTTTTTTAATTCTTGTTAGGGGATATGTCTCTAATAGAGAAATCTTCCAGAGCTGTATAACCTATGAAGTTTATATAGAGTCGTAATATGACAAGGGTCAGCTGTGCCTCGGGCTGACTGGACTCATAGTGCACTTAGATAATTCCAACCATGGCAAAACTAAAATGGATTTTAAAGGCAAAGAGAAAAATCACACCTTTGCATCAGTTAGACCTTGGTGTTACTTTTCTTGTTTAACTAATGCCTGCTAATTTTGTAACAGTATTTTATAGTTAAGGTGGTTTTGAAAATGCTCCAAAGAAATGTGAAAAGAACTTTGCTGCAGCACTTCAGAATGAACAACAAGATGTTAAGCATGCTAATGCTGCCAAGAATAAAACTTGATGAACCATTTTGTAGGTTGCCTGATGGATTTAGTCTTCTACTTTGTTTTGGTTTGTATATTTATTACAATTATCTTTGTGGAATATTGAAAATTATATACTACAGCATAGCAAGTTTCTTTATATGTAATTTACAAGAAGTTTCCTTATGCAGCAAATAAACTATTTCCAATTTTTTTCATGTTTGCTGTTTTCGTGCCTTCATTTACTTTTTGTACTGAGGGAGATCTCACTACACTGTTTTAATGTAGTGCAAGTGTGTTCTATATCTCATGTTTAGATAGCTGTCAGATGTACTGGGTTTTCTTCCCTGATATTGCAGCTTGATTATTAACTTCCTTCATCTGTCAGGTGGAAGAGAATCCACTCCAAACCCTGTGCAACCAGTTTTGCAGATTATGCCTTCTCTCTGATTGATAAGTTGAGAGCCATTTCTCACGTGGACATCCTGCTAGAGGTGGTATGTTTCCCGTTCCCCACTGGAGGCATTCCAACTAAGTTTAAAACAGATTGGTGAGGTCCCACAATTTTTCAAAACCACAGTTCTTTTGTCACTTAGCCCTTCACGCACGGAACTGCAGTTGGAAGCCTGTCTATGCGTATATGCATATGGATGCGTGGATGTGTACACTCCTCTTTAAACTTAGCGATAGTTACACAGCCAGCCCCATTGCCTTTTATCATCTCTTCCTTTCCTCAGTTTTATTTGAGAAACCAGGTTTTCACTAACTTGTTTGCTAATAATATATTACTGTCTGGGGGCAGAACACACAAATGGCAGGAATTGCACCTGTTTTGGTTACATCCTGGGGGCCAAGTAGCTCTTCCGCCTCTTGTAGAAAATTTCCGTGAGCTGCTCAGTACTGGGTTCCTTTGAAGAAGGCTGCTGACAAACTGGTACGCATGGCGAGATCACCTGGCAGGGAAGATCAAATCTGCTTTCGTGGCTTTTGTGCCATCACAGGCAACGGACCTGCTGCCTACTATCTCCCATCTGAGTTGCCATTTGTTTTCCTTGTCGATGGCTGGATGCCAGCTCTGTTGCCTCACAGATCTTTTTTTAGGGGCAGACCCATGGCGGTCCTTCGTTTTGCCTTCCAACTTGGCTGTTGCCGCACTTGAGCACACGTGCTTCCCGAGCATCACTGGTCTGGTGGTTATTTCTGGCCTCCTGCATGGGCAGTCGTGACAGCATGGGTCTTCTCCTGGGCAGCATTTTTATAGCTGGTTTCTTCCCTCCTCCCCCCTAAGCATACAAGTACTGGGGATGAACAATCCTCTTACCAAGCTCATGACTGCAGTTCGCATGCAACAGATAATTTGGTCAGGCTGGTCACCAGGAGCGTACTGGCACTTCTCACCCATCCCGTGCCCTGTCACAGTAGAGAATAGCGACAAATGGTGGTGGCAGACTTCAGAGGACTGCAAGTGGGCTGAAATTTGGGAGGAGACATCTGTTCAGATCTGCGTTAAGACCACCTGCTTTGCGTTTTGGTTTTGGGTTTGGATTTGTTTGTTTGTTTTTCTCTTGCTGGAGAAAGGAAGTGCAAGTCCCTGCAAGCCGGTATTTCCCTCATTATTTGGCGTCTGGCTGTCACAGGCTCCCTCTTTTGCCAACCCGGGTGGGCATGAGAAGATGTTGGGAGAGTGAAGTGGAATGATTGAGGAGATTTCAGCAGCAATCAGGCAAGAACATGTTGGAGTGTGCTTTGTCTCCTTAATGGACACATCCTTTGGCTGCAGCAAGCAACACGTAGTGGCACATAGCCAATACTTTGAGCTCAAGGGTGGTGGACCCTCTTGGATGAGCCTGGCTACCTGGGCGTGTTCCACACCAGCAGGTCAGCAGCCTCCTCTCATTCCTTTCTTTGCCCAGGTCTGTGCATGCTCCTGCTGTGACCTGTGGCTCTTTCCTGCTCACAGGTCCCTTGCGCAGAAAAAGTAAAGCTGTCATTGGTCCCCCTGTGCCTGGTTTTGTTAATGTTTCGGGGGCTTTTTCTGCACAGTCCTACCTCTCGAGAACGGAGAGTGTCAGTAAGTGTCATTCCCCTGAGGCTGGCTTTTCAGAGGAACAGGACATTGAGAGTAAAAGCAACAGTTGCCAGACAGTTTATTCGGGTACCTCACGGATAGAGGCATGAGGTAAGAAGCTAATTCTTCCCCACGCTGGGTGAGTAGGGGGCTCAGCGATGGCAGGAAGGCCTGCTGGTTTCCCTGCCGCCACTCCTCAGGTCAACTAAATGACTGTCTTACGTGTCAGCACAAGACCGCAAAAGCCAAGGGGCGGTCGCACCGCTGTGTGCTGCATAAACCACAGCACAGTGCAGTAGGAGAAGCAACCAAGAGAGGGCCAGTGGAAAAGCTGGCTGGAAATTACGTGGCAGGTTCTACACCCCTCTGTGGAGCTGCAGTTTAGTTTTAGAGCCCACTCCATGTTGTGTGAGTTTTCCTGAGCAATGGCTGGCTGGGGGAAGGTGGTGTGTGGTTTCGCCGCTCCGAACGTTTCAGAGCTGAGTAAATTACAGTTGCTACACATCTGTTGTGTTTAGACCATAAAAGCTGCTCTCCGGGGGGCTTTGGCAGTGTGGGGTACCAGCCTCCTCCCAGGAGGGAGGGGGATAACCAAAGAGGCTGGAGGTTCATGTGGGCCACAGGAGGAGACATGCCTCATGGCAGTGGAGAGGGATGTCCACGTGAGCTTTTGCCCATCTGACCTGCCCCCAGGGAGGCTCTGGCTTGAGCTGGGTCAACGAGAGTGTCCTGGAGCATTCTCCACGCTGGTGCCAGCCTTCATCTCAGCAAAAGGCAGGCATGAAAGGCTGAAGCAGTCCGCCCTTGAACATGGCAGAGACCCACGTGCTGCAGGGAAGAATCGCTGGCTCACGTGGTGTGGTCAGGCCTCCCGGTACGGGGCAGGTCCTGCAGCAGAGGCAGCCTCTTGTGGCTTTGGCCGCTCGTGGGGCCAGTGCCTCAGCCTGCCGCTGCGGGAGGTCTCGGGATCCAGGCCGCAAAGCAGCTGTACGGTGGGTCGTGGTGCTGCACATAGAACAAACTCACACAAAAGCTCCCAGAGGAGTTAGGTGTTGAGGTTTCAGAGCAGCAGCGTAGGCAGACATGATGTAACCTGTAACCCAGCACATATTCTGCAGGCCCAAGCATAACCCAGCAAATTTTTTTCAAACAAATAGGAGCAGATGCAAGGCTTTTAGGACAGATCAGTGGTTTAAATCCTCTATTCACTGTGGTTTTGGTCTGCCATAGGGAGCACTAAAAGTGCTCTGAATTTAATGTCAAGCCACAGTTCAAGAGTTTGTCTGAGTACCTTGAAACCATCTGTAGCAACACTGTCTGGTTCTGCAAATGTGGGTCACTGGGGGTGCTTGTGGGTGCAATCCAACGCTCAGCAAAATGTTTCATAAAAGTGAAGTTTCAAAATGCTTTTCTTCATCTCTGCCTCCTCCTCTGTTTGGATCCTTCACTGATCCTTTTGAAAATAAGAGATAC